AAGCAGGAATGCTGTCCTGTAGGTCACTCCTCCCACTGAAGCCAAACAAGTGGCTGAAGGGCCATGATTGAGCCAAACGCTGTACAATTCAAACTAAGCTTCTTACCAGTATACATTTAGGTTGTGTTGAGTCAGCTCCATATTCCTTTCTCCACCAAACATTTTGATTGGAATACTGTAGGAGAACTGAGGGTAGTCCAGGAGCTGCAGCAAGAGCCAAAAGCATCAACAGAGCCGGGTGCTCAGGGGGAATGCAGCTCTCGGAGTGCACCGCTGTCGTGGCACTGTGCGCTGGCTAAGACTCCTGTTATTGTGGGGACTTTTGTATGTTTGTCTGTGTGAAAAGAAATCTTCTATTTTTGCTAATAAAGACCTCAGAATAAATAAAACCTTTGCTCTGCTCTTTCCACCACTTGGTAACACAGTTGTAAATAAGCACCAACATATAGATAGCATGTGCGGGAGTTAGGGACGTGGAGCCCTCCTGCCTTTCTGAGACTGCGGTGCGGTGACCTGCTGCTTCTGCTCTAGCGCTCCCTGTTCGGTACCGAGCACGTGCCCACCTAATTCAACAGGCACGTGGCCACGTCCCCAGCGCCTGATGCTGCACAGTGTCATGCCCAGCAAGGCACAGACCCAGGCAATAGTGAGCACCGAGGACGTTTGCATGCATTAGGGACCATGTTGGTGAGAAGACCTGAGGCATTCACACTGACATGCGAATCCCTGTTGATGCAGAAACACCTGTCTGAACAAACTACCTGCTAGCAGGTCCTTTGCTGTTGAGTTATCACGATGAAGAAAACTGGCACCCACGTGCTCCATAAGTCACTCTAGCCTCTTAGTCTCTACCTCTTGAAGGCATATCAGCAATTGCCCTTTTTAGCAGCATTTAAAGTTAAATTTAACTGTTTACGTGAGACCACTGCTTCCTCTATCAACCAAGTTGTTTTTAATTTACTTTGACCACAGTCAGGGCAAGGCCTTCATCCTAGATTAGATCCTAGAGAGTAGCTAGGTACTAGACTAATATGAATTAAAAACAGAATTGCTTGCTTTTCCTCAGGTTTAGTGTTATTTACCTATGCATATGGAACTGTATATAGGGCAGTTGAACATGTAATAAAAAGGAGCAGGCGTGCATGCATGAAATTATGGCTCCGTTACTAATAAACCCAGAATTCAACCAGTGTAACCATTTGCAAACTCGACCTCACATCCACCGCGGAAGGGTGGTTACCCCCGGATACCCACCTGGCCACCTTTCTGTTTCAGTTTCGAGTGTCTTTCATTTTCACTGATCTCAGACCTTTACTTGCAAGTCCACAAGGCTCCATATGTTTATTGGTAGCTGAGGTTTTCTCCCCTCCCTGCATTAGAAACAGGAATATTTTCAGTTAATAAGACAATTTCTAAGTCTGTGTCTCTCCAGACTTCAATGTGGTACCGGTCATTGTGATTGTGGAGGATTAGCCCAACAGATTATCAGTATTCTTAGCAAAACCTGCATTTTTGAGCACTCCTCAGTGTCTTCAACCTCCTCTAGCATCATCCCGCGCAAAGCTGGCTGGCATGCTCCCCTCTGATTCCCTCCGCAGGTACTCGCAGCCCCGTTAGACACTTTTCCCCCATTAGGAACTAGGCAATAGCTCTGGCGAACAGAGCGCTGCTTCGCAGTTGCGGACCCGGATTCGCAGGGTCGAGGCGCTCTCGGAGCCGTGAGGACCCGCCGGACAAGCCGCCCCGTGCCCAGAGCAGCGCCGGG